GAGACAGGGGAGACCGAGTACAGCCTGAGAGCAGCAACCCTGAGACGGGGGAGACTGAGTACAGCCTGAGAGCAGCAGCCCTGAGACGGGGGAGACTGAGTACAGCCTGAGAGCAGCAGCCCTGAGACGGGGGAGACCGAGTACAGCCTGAGAGCAGCAGCCCTGAGATGGAGGAGACTGAGTACAGCCTGAGAGCACCAACCCTGAGACGGGAGGAATTGAGTACAGCCTGAGAGCAGCAGCCCTGAGACGGGAGGACTCGAGTACAGCCTGAGAGCAGCAGCCCTGAGATCGAGGAGACTGAGTACAGCCTGAGAGCACCAACCCTGAGACGGGAGGAATTGAGTACAGCCTGAGAGCAGCAGCCCTGAGACGGGAGGACTCGAGTACAGCCTGAGAGCAGCAGCCCTGAGACAGGGGAGACCGAGTACAGCCTAAAAGCAGCAGCCCTGAGATGGGGAGGGCCCTGTCAGGCCCTACGCAGCTGTCCTCTCTGGGAGCACGCCCCCTCCCCTTGCTCTCTGGGTTCTGGGCCAAGGTGGACGTCCAGGCTGGCTTTCTGACTATGAGTTAACCAGCAGCCCTGCCCAAGCAGTCCCCATCCCCGAGGCCTGCTGTCACCCACAGACAGCCCTTCTACCAGCTTCTGAATAAGTCCCTGGGACATTGAAGCCAGTGTTGGGGTGGAACTGGGGGTATATGGTAAAATAGTTGATAAGAAGCATGTCCTTGGGGCACAGGCAGGACTGGGGGGCTGCCCCAGGTAGGTGGGCTCCCAGGCTGTGTCCATAGTACCGGCTCCTCCCACACAGCACTGTGGAGCAACCAAGGGTGGGGCTGGGCAGGACTTTCCAGAGTCAGCTCCTGCCAACTGAGGGGGACAGCCCTCCCCAACCCTCCCCCAACAGGCTGGAGGGCCCAGAGCCTGGGACATGGACACCTCTGGAGAATTCTGTACACCTCCGTGTAGTGAGCCACCTTTTCATTCAGCACATGAGAGTCTGTTTTCTCCACAGGGACTGGGTGAGTGGCTGGGACAGAGCATCTTCGTAGACTGTGGCCTGAGGACCACATCCGGCCTGCAAGCCAAGAGTGGCTTTTCCATTTTTACGTGGTTGGGAAAAAATCAAAACAGTAATAATACTTTGCAGAAGGTGAAAACTACATGAAATTAAAACTTCAGGGTCCGCAACAGTGTTACTGGGACTCAGTCACACTCTTGCTCACATGTTGGCTGTGGCTGCCTTCTCCCTAGAGACCACACGGCCTGCAGAGCTGACCGCCCCAGCCAGAGCAATGCCGCTCTGTGGAAACAGAAGTCACAGATGTCATTTAAAGTTTCCTAGTAGCCACATAAAAATGGTAAAAAGAAACAGCAACTTGAACCTTGGTGAGGTACTTTGTGCACTGCTGTCCCTTCGGTTTGAAATTATATGAAGGGCCGGCCCGTGGCTCACTTGGGAGAGTGTGGTGCTGATAACACCAAGGCCATGGGTTCGGATCCCATATAGGGATGGCCGGTTGGCTCACTGGGTGAGCATGGTGCTGACAACACCAAGTCAAGGGTTAAGATCCCCTTACCGGTCATCTTTAAAAAAAAAAAAAAAGAAATTATATGAAACACGCCACTGAGGTATTTAGGACATGCCACGCCGGGGATATGAGGCCGGGTGCCCAGCACAGAGCACGCTCGCTAGCAGGCAGTCCACGTCAGCCAGAGCAACCCTCTGCACCCCTGAGCCCACGGCATGCAGGAGCCTCTGTGGGAAACAGGCCCAGGCATTTCTGATGCTCTTTCCACAGCCAAATATTGAGCAGGTGAGGGCCTGAGTGGGATCCTTGCCAGTCAACAAGGAGCTCTGCCTGTTTTCACCATGAATGCAGAGAACTGTGCTCCCTCAGAGGACACCCTCATTCCCTTGTGACCCGCCTACCCACCTGCTTCCAGGGAGACCACCTCGGTCTGCCCTAGAGGAATGGACACTGGGGTCCTGTGCAGGTGCCACATGCACTGCTGGAAACACAGGCTCCCATGAGGATCCCCCCCTGCTCCTCATGAGGCCCCTAGCAGGTCTGGGTTGAGATAGTTTCCGGCTGCACCCTGGGGCAGTGAGTGCAAGTGCGAGTGCTTGTCAGGGGCACTGGAGTTGAATGTTGGCCTCCGCCCTCCCCTGCATCTGCTCAGGACACCCTCCAGCCTCAGGAAACTGGCTCCGTGGAGCCCATCTGGAGCAGGAGGGAGGCCTGTCAGGGGTGGGCATCTCCTGGGAGGGTGGAGACACCACAGTTCCCTCTCAAGAGGCGCTTGGAAAAGAAGGAACAAAGAGTAGAGGCGGCCTGGAAGAGCAAATGTCCTGCCAGAGACCTGGCTAGCCAGCCACAGAAGAGCCTTTCTGGGGCTTTCTGGGGTACTTGGGGATCTACAGGAACGGTTGTGCCCAACCACCCACACCTGCTGCCAGAGGAGAAAGCCCCCTGGGGGTGGCAAGGAGCCCCTACCCTGGTGGGGGAGACCCACCTTCACACTGGGGTCCTGGAAGGAGCCAGGCCGTGGGGTAGTCACGGCTGCCAGCCAGGAGCCAACCTGAGGGTCCACCTGTGTGGGGCGACTGTGGGAAGCTGACGTCAACAGTTCTCTTAAAACCCAACCTCTTGGCCTTGAGACCTTCCAGAGTGCAGCTGCTGGTCCCAGGGCCAACTGCTCACCTGGCTCCAGCCAGACCTCTAGAGCCACTCACCCAAGGACACTGGGGATGGTGCTGTCTCTGAGTGAGCCTGGTGCAGCTGACCAGACGCTCATGAGAGGAAGGCCTGCCCCTCTCAAGTCTTGCCTACCCCAGGGCCTAGGCACACAAGTGAATATGTGTGTGGTGCTGGGGCAGGGCCAAAGGAGGGCTGGACACGGGTGGAGACAACCCCTGGATCCGTCCTGGCTCCATGGGGAGGGAGTGGGGTCTTACAAAGTACAGAACAGGAAGTGAGGGCCTCCCGCAGAGCAGAGCAAAGCCCAGCACCGCCCACCCCTCCGCAGGGCCTGCTGGCGGGCAATGCCACCAGTGCTGCTCCTCCAAGTGGCCACATATGCTCGACTGTCCGTCGTTTGTGCGTTCAGCAAACACCCATCAGGCTCTGCTACGTGCCAGGCTCTGTTTTAGGCCCTTAGATACGGCCACCAGCAACACCCAGGAACCCCGCCCACGGGGGCTCACCTTCTCACCACTGCGTCTCAAGACTTTTAACGCGTTGCAAAAGCCAAAGTGCGAAACACAGCAATGCCAGCCTCCTGGACTCGCCGGAGGGGGAAGCAGGGCGCTGAGCACAGGTGTGGGGGAGGAGTCCCTGGGCACCTGGATTCCACCAGCAGCTCAGCACTGGGCCCCTTCAACAGGCCTTGCCTGCCCCACCCCAACTGACTGTGGGGTTCCTCCCTGCCTTCATTCGGAACCACTGCCCCAGTTTTAAACAGGTTGGTGGCCTAGATTTGGCCTCAGGGAAGTGCGGAAGTGGGGCTGT